TCACAAAAAGCATGTTTGATATGACATTGTTAGAATTTTTTTTTTTTTTTATAAACACAAGGAACAATAAAAAAAAAGACAGACAACTGCTCTGATAATGGGAGGTGGAAGATAGGCATACATGGTTTGCTCTTCTTAAGGAAAGCATGTAAAACTATCTGCAAAGGGATGTGAATGCTGTTAGCAAATAATCTGAAACTGGAGAACCGGAAATGTGGATTTTAATGAGACTGTATGAGTGCACTAAACATATAACAAACTTTCACTAAAGTGCAATAAATATGATAAGTAAAAGCAATAATGTAGTGTTGGGGTGAAGAGTGCAGTGCTGGCTGGAGTCAGGCTGCCTGATTTGAATTCTGTCTCTGTAAAATGGAAATAAAACGGTACCTACCCCAAAGAATTATTCTGAGGAACAAGTGAGCAAACATTTAAAACTACCAGGTGAATTTAAAATACTAGATATGAATATTAGTTGCTATCATTATTGTTATTAAGCACATCTCATTTAGATTTAAGAACAAGTATCAAGTGCTTTCATGATCCTTACCACCTACAGTTCTGAACCTAAAAGAAACCACAAACAGCATATATTGTTTTTTAATGAGTCCCCTCATCCAACCAGTTAATCACTCACCAATCAAATAGTATGTGAATTTTCAAATGCGTTGTCATTTTTAATTTAAGAAAAAAACCTCAAATTATGAAGTCAACTAATGACAAAATATAATTCACTATTTGGAAGACTTAAAAACATTATCAATTTTTATTTTCTTCTACATCTTTAATTATATGCTAAAAAAAAGAAGATTTTTGCCTTTTGAATTCTTGAACCAATTTTCAATTAAGAATCGATTACTCCAGAGAGAAAGACTCTTTTTAAAATGTCTATGATAGAGGTCATTTAAATAAAAGAGAGTACACTATATTCAGTGTATGTTTCTCCTCTCTATTTTGTTTCTTATTGGATTAAAAATTCCATGGGTTCAGGGATGCACCTGTCTTATCTGTACCCATATAACAATGTCATTACAAAGACATTGAATAAATATTTGATGGCATATAAACTAAAATAGAGATTTGTATAAGTAGCATTGTAGTCTGTTAATTTTGGTCAAAGTGAAAAGCAAAATAGCTATCTATACTAATAAAAAAGAAACATGTTAATTGATGGTACCTTTGCAACGCCCACCAGCCAATTAGAAGTGAGTATGCAAATTAACCCAACAAAGATGGCAATTAATTTGCATGAGTGGCTGTGGGAGAGGAGGGGTGCTTGTATCATTGCCATGGCAATGAAATAGGTGTTTTGCACCACTCCAGCCGCTTAATTCTGGGCACTATGGACAGCCTGGAAAGGGGGAAAGGTGGCTCTGGCCAGAATGAAGGCGGTATAGGCAGTCAGGGAAAGGAAGGCCTATTTTTGCACGAATCTTTGTGCAACGAGCCTCTAGCTATCTTATAAAGGTTATGGGTAAATATGAAGCCCAGAATTTTTCTTGGAATTATGTGTGTTTTTTTTTGTATTTCATAAGATTTTATTTAATTTAAACATATATTTTAAAAATTATCATGAAAGATATAAATTCTTCATTCAAATTGAACTTGTTCAAAAGGCCCCATGTAATTAATATCTAACTAAAGTTAGAATAAAACCATTTTTCCCCAAAATGATCTAATAGATCATTTAATAGAACAGAGTTATGTTTAAGGTCTTATATTTTAAATATGAAACTTAGTTGTCTCATCTTGGACACTTTCCTTATTTTTCAATGCTTTCATTGACAAAAAGGGATCCGATATCATTCCATCTAAGGATTAACTAAATGAAAGGCTTTATATGTTTGTAATATAAAAAAGCTGATTCACCAGGTGTGCTCTGTTGTGAATATTCAAAGCAGTGGTTTTAAAATAAGCAAGTATCAGTTGCAGTCCCAAAGAGCCCCAACTTGGGGTCAGGCATGGGGAGGAATGGAAGAAGAATTGTGAGGTTTTAAAAGTTCTTATCTGTGGCTGGATGGTTGCTCTTTAGGGCTGGCACAGCAATTGATCTGGCTGCGGTCTGTAGGGCTGTGCCTGTTTAGGGTCTGATGTGGATGCTGGTGGTCCAGGATTCCCTCACTTCTCAAAAGAGGACCCACTTTAATATATAAGTATTATTTTTGCAGCATTTACCTGCCTGGTAGTGGTTACATATTTGTTGTGTATCAATTACAAACATAGATCATGAGCCACCTTGAGTTTAGATTCAATTTAAAATAAATACATTTTAATAACTATAATAGAGACTCAATGAATTTTAAGAATAGCATTAGATACATTTATTAACTCCTTAAAAACAAAACAAAAACAAAAACAAAAACAAAACAAAAAACCCGATACCTCTCAGACTTGGAATTACTCATCTAGCTAATGTATTAGTTTAACTCACTTCCTAGTAGGAAAATTCCATATGACTTGATTATTTTCTTCCCAAGTTGTTCTATCTTCAAATATGTTTGTGTCTTTAAAAGGAATTATAATTGTAATTCATACTATGTGTATATATTTAAATGAACGATTAATGAAAATAGTCCGCAATTATTAAAAAAAAAAAAGACATGCGGAGGCTGTGGCCAATCTTCCCTGATGCGTCATGATGGAGTCATTCTCAAAAACTAATGGCTACAAAATTGAGTAAACACAGAACCAATAAAGAAAAGATTTCTTCACACCATGCGAAGAGTACATTGCTGTGGAAACTTTTGGGAGAAGCACAGCATTTTTTCTCCCTACAGTGATGATATCTCACACTTGCAAACATCAGCCACAAAGTAAAAAATTCCTCCCCACATATCAATACCATAGCGCTGACTGTTGGGGAATGACCCCATTCGCCTCAGTGCGTTCCGCCCCATCCTTCTTTTGAGCACAAAGCACAGCACAGTATTTGGTGAAACAAGTCATTAATTAGGACTAATACATTCTTGTCACTCCTTGCAAGTACCTCCTCGTCATCTCGCAGAATAAGGAAACACTCCCAGTTGACACCTCATTCTTTCAAATTCTGCCTTAATTTTTCAAACACTTGAGCTATTTCTTTTCCAAGTCTACTTTGTAAAACAAAAGCTATTTCTAATTCTAATTTACCAAACTGTGATCTCTATCAATGCTCAGTGAAACTTCAACCAAGTCCTAGGATCATATTTCTTGGTTTCATTTTTTATTCTTTACAAAAGAGCAGTTAAGTGATAAGTTACTCTCTGCTTGATTTCTTGGTAGATTCCGAGGCTAGATTTCAGAGGCCATCATTCTACCTCTCTCCCAATATGCATTGATTTATGACTACTGAGCACCCACCAAGTACCACCATCCTACCACGTGCTAACATCAATGTTTACATATAATAATAGGTATTTTTTAATTAGTGATAACCTTGTGCTAGGCATTATCTTGATTTTTATTATTATTATTTCTATTTTACATATGAGGAAACTGAGGTTAAATTACTTGTCTAAGGGCTCAATAGCAGACTTACTAAATCTATGATCTTAACCATGGAAGGATTAAGCATTTGTTTCCAACATGAAAGTTCTGGACACTAAAGGGCACCATTTGGGGTGAGGAATAAAAAAGGTGGGGGAAAAAGAGGATAATCAGAAAACAATAAAAAGTAGGAAGGTAGGCGTTATTAACATCCATCAGATGTCATTTTCTATTCAACTATGTTTTCAGTAACATTAAAATGACTCACCGTTCTTAGGCCCTACCGGGGAGAATAAAATAAAAAGTAAAATCATTTATGTATTCATGCAGATTTGAATATATGACTTACAACCAATAGCATTTAAATAATACCAATTAGTTTCAACAGGTGTGAAGTATCAAATCTAAAATTCTACGAGTTTAGGTGGAAGATAAAAAATAATGGCTGTAAGAAGTCAGAATGAAAAGAGATATCTGGAAGGTCAGGAAACCCAGCCCTTTGAGGAGAACTGAGAAAATGAGTAGGACTTGAGTAGCTCCAGTAAGAGTCAGCCGTTCCCCTGAACTGTGACTCCATCAGCACAGGCAGGAAAGTGGAAATAGGCAAGGGTGTGGTGAGTTTTCCAGACAGGCTGGGCTGAGGCGATTTGGCGAACTAGTGGGAGCTGAGGTTGAAAAGACTGGGTGCAGGTTTGTGGCAGGCACTGAAAGATTTTGTACGAGAAAGTGTTGGGATTAAGAAAAAAAAAAATTGGGGGAAGTTAAATCATAAGCAGTAGTCTGATGGATAGCAAATAGGACGGAATGAAATCTGTAATTTAGGACTTTCTTCATACTGACTAGCTCCACTGAAGCCATAAATGCATGTAATACCATGGAAACAGAGGCAATGAGAAGGAAGATGTGGATATGAAAGACACACACACACACACACACACACACACACACAGTTTGGACAGAAACCACACATCATTTCCACCACTGGGGACACCAGCGCTGGTTTGGGTTTAAGGTATGCCTGTCACCCAGAGCAACCAAAGCCACCCACTCTTCAGACAAGTGACCCCACCACCAGGCAAACCGACCCATCTGGTCCACGCTCCCCACCTCCACCCCGAGGAGTCAGAGGGGAAGATGGAAAAGTTTGGGGAGTAGTCCCCGGCTAACAGGGCTAAGGGCATTTTTTTCAGTCAGGTGTTCAGAGAGGGAGGAGGACATCCGGACCGGCGCTGGCCACTCCTCCCTGCGGCCCATTGGGAAACCCCGGACACTTTGCACCTCGCCCCGCTAGGAGGTCCTCGGGCCCCAGGCTCCGCCCCGGGCTCTTATAAAAGTCGCATCGCGGGGCAAATGCGCTCAACTGCTGGACAGACCAGTGTCAGGGGAACAGGACAGACTGGTGGCTCTCCCGTCTGTCTCTCCAACCGCGCTCAGGCCGCCGCCAGGACACCCGCGCTCCAGCCGGGCCGGTGAGCCCCCTCCCGCCGCCCGCTGCCCGCTGAGCCCCGGGCGCCAGTCTCCGCCGCCGGACCGGGATGGAGCCGCGCCTCGCCCCCCGCGGCCCCGCGCTGCTGCTCTGCCTGGGTAAGCCCGGCCGCCTGGTGCCCAGGGGGCACCCGTGCAGCCGCCTTCACTTGTCATGGACCTTCGGGGAGTTTCCCACCGGCCACGGTGCATGCACACTTGGAAATGATGTCCCTCGCGTGCGGGTCCGGCTGTCCCTCCAGACGGGGCTGCAATGGGGTGGGGTCTGGGAAGAGGGGACTCGGCATTAAAAAAACAAAAACAAAAACGCTTTTCATTGATAATTATTGTATATATGGCATGCATGACTTTATACAGCTCCGTGTTAGGGAACATGAAAGGTCGAAAAGCCTTTGGGTTTTGCGGTTAACTTGGCTGTTGTAGGAGCCCCAAGACCTGGACGCACTGCTGACACTTCCAGCCGCGCTCTTCCTTGCAGGGGCCAGGGGTGGGGAGGGGGCGGGAGGAGAGGAGACTGGGCACGGAGGGGGGTGGCTTTGGAAAGGAGTGCTTTCCTGCCCTTTGGCCCTCCGTTTTCTAAGACAAGCCCGCTTGAGCTTTTTTTCCGGGGTGCAGGAGGTTGGGGGGGGGAGTGGCTGGAGCCTCAGACCACGCAGAATGAAACCGCTGTTGTCACTTACCTGGTGCGGAGGGGCGCGCTCAGGTCCTGGAGCTCCTCGCCGACAATGCATCCTCTCACCTGCCATGTCGGGTTTGCCCCTGAAACCTCCTGGCTGGTCAGTGCTTTCCACTGGCAGGCATGGCACCCCACAGCCTGTAACCGCTGAGTGTGCTGTGTGCTTTGTTGCCTGTCATCATCCTATTTGAAATGAGTTAATGGGGGGGGGGGGGGGGGGGTCGGATAGGGAGATATCTAGTGTAAGCTTCCTAGTTTGAAAAACATATAGATTGCTTCTCTCCTTCATTCCTTAAAGTTCAAGAGGAATTTGGAGCTGTTAGTGAAGATTTAATTAAATAAGGAAATAAAACTTGCCAGTCCCGCATTCTTTCTGGGCGTGCAATGAGGCGAATTCCCCTACCTACCTACCTACCTACCTTCCTACCTACCTGTGCAGGATGTGACAGTTAAATTGTTATTTCGACACGCCTTATCTCAGGGGCTGAGACTTAATGAAATGCATACTCCGCACAGTGGAACTTGTCCAAGTTCAGGAATGTAAGTGGAAACTGGATGTCTGGTTTTTACCAAAACTATGCTGAGGACTCGGTAGAAGGTTCTCTAGCGCATAATGTGGCTCTGCATGTCTTTTAATCTCTGTGAAAATAATAGAATTGGAGAGGTGACAGTCTTCCTAGAGTTAGAACATAGCCTGGAGGTCATAGTGGCTTCGCGCTTCCCCCCTCACAGGTGAGGTTGCCTCTGAACAATGCCCTGTGTCTGTTCTGGGATACTTATTAAATATTCTAATTTGAGACAGCAAGAGCCTATGAATAACCTGGTTACTACCCACCTATGTTGTGTGTGTTTTTGTTGTCATGAAAGTGCTTAACTCCTTTATTGCATTACTTAATTATAGTTCACTTATTTCATCAGCTGCCAAGCCCATTTCCAAATGAGCTGGGTCAGTTTCTGTTTTCCCAGTGCGTTCAGATGTTTCTCTGCCACTAGGAAAGTTCCTGTTTGAAGTTCTATATCATTTCTCCACACTCTGGGCAGGTATGCAAGTCCAATAGTTTTATTCTAAAGCACCTGGGGGAAAAAAGGTAAGGTCATCTGTTAACTCTGAAATTGCCCCTCTCCCCCACCAAACAAAATATAATCTAAAAATACTTTTCTCAAATGACTTTTTTCATTTATGCTAGATTCCAGCAAACTATTTATTATTTCCATTTTGTGGAATTTATATGTCTTTTATATACTTAGGGACTCTTGATCTATAAAATAAAACATTTTCATTGATACCCGAATGGACTTTTGAGCATATTCCTGAATGATACCTTCAAGACAAATTCTCCATACCTCATTGCACAATGACAGAGAATTGAGCAGAATAAACACTTATTTTCTTGAAAATATGGGAAGCATGGATCTCAGTGAGACATTGGCTCTCTCCTCGGATCTTTTCTGTTGACCTGAGAGTTCATGAGCTGCCTGAATGGTAGCACAACTGAGATGACACCTCTAGGCAGAAAACATGACAACAGGCCTCTCCTGTCTGGGTTTTGACCCCGGTACCTAGCTGCCTTCCACATCATCTGGCCATATGAACATTGGAGTGCCCCCATTGGGGGCCAAATTCAGGAGTTTGGAAGGGAACTAACAGTTACCAAATGCCTACTGTGAGCCAATTATGTTGTGTGGTAGGTGCTTTACACATATCATCTCACTTCTTAAAATAACTGCATGAGGTTGGTATGTATAGCCCAGTTTGACAAAAGAAGAAACTAAGGCTCAGTAAAGAAATTAGAGTAAATGGCAAAAGTAAATGTCTTCTGTCCATTTTTGCCCAAGAACCTCCCATTTCCTGGTTAATTGTCACACAAAAGATGCAAATGTCATGTAAGAAATCCTCTTCAAAGAGACTGTAAATTAAGGTGTGGTTTCCTCATCTGTAAGTCTTCATCCTAAATATAGACTTATGTAAATTGTCTAATTAATAAGGTTATAATTTCTGCTGGGAACATTCCTTTGGAAGGAAGACAATGGTGAGACTCCCCAGAGCTGTGATATCCTTGGGGAGGAGCACCCTGACAGCCATTCCCTTGGTATAGCAATTCTGGAAGCTTTAACAGATGAAGTAATATGGCAGACTCAGTGTCCTCTGGCAATGTGTTATGAAAGACTGGGTGTCTACTTACAGGGCAAATAAAAGTTCTGTGACATTCTAGGTTAAAGTAATGACTTTATTAATTAGGATACCATCTATAATACACATGATGATTTGATAATTGTCCAGAAAAAATGTTAACCCTTATTTTTTTTAGGACAAAAATCCTGAATTTTAAATTTGAGGCATGAAAGTGAGTTAAATGCAAATTCTCCTGCAAATCCTCCAGATCAGGGAAAAAGTCTCACTCTCCTATATAAAATTATATACATTTATATATGTCAAACTTGATAGTTTTGAATCAAGAGACATAGATAGTACATAGAATGTGGTGTTCACACCCCAGTTTTGTTTTTTTTTTAATTTGATACTTCCATAAAGATTTATTCCTTTGTGGACCTCAGTTTTCTCATCTGTAAAATGGAGATAATAATAACAATGTTATCAGGTTATTGTATATGGAATTAACAAATTGAATATTAGAAAACAATTAAATTTTTTTTAAATTAGGTGTATCATCATCATCCTCATTATCATCATCATCAAGTGCATTCTTATAAAACACTTCATCTAAACTTTATAACTCCATTTTAACCAGGAAAGGTATTACTATTCACATTTAAAAATATATATATTTTGTTGATTTTTACAGAGAGGAAGGGAGTGGGATAGAGAGTTAGAAACATCGATGAGAGAGAAACATTGATCAGCTGCCTTCTGCACAAGGGTATGTGCCCGCAACCAAGGTACATGCCCTTGACTAGAATCGAACCTGGGACCTTTCAGTCCCCAGGCCGATGCTCTATCCACTGAGCCAAACCGGTTTCAGCTATTCACATTTTTTTAAACAAGAAAACAAATTTAAAAAGAAGTGCCATCCCTCACATAAGGTTTCATTTTTTAATGTGCAGACCCTCTGCTGGGGATGACCCTAACTCACTCTTCACTTTTGGTTCTGCTTATTAAGTCTAGAGAAAAGTGTCAAGCTTTCTGTGATAACCCCTGTCAGGTAAATATACATACTAAGGGAATAATCCATGGTCACAAAGATGGTTTTCTCAGGACCAGGGGTATCTATTACACTCCAGATGTGCTGACCCCTGAGACTCCCCCAACTGGGGGAAACTCGACTGCATAATTCATGGAAATGGGGGACTGTGTTTGTTCACATTCTCCCCTGGCATAAATAAATAATATGAGATAAAATAAAAATACATAAATAAATTTGCAGCCTGTCCCCCAGCCCCCTGACACCTCTCTCATTCCTGTGGTCCTGCCCTTTTCAAGTAATACTGTGCATCTAGCCCCATTTCCCCTTACTGATGCTGCACTCATCTTTTTTCATTCACACTGTGACACACAAATATTAAACACTCAGTAAATGTTAGTTGGATGCATGATAAGCTTGATACTTATAGAATTCTCACCACTATGTTTTAACTCATCCAGCTGTTCTTTGGAAATGTATTTGAGAAGCTAAGTATTTTTAGACTAATCAATAGTTCTTTAAAATTCAATTTTGTTGTTTATGATAAAACCTAGTAATTATTCTTCCCACGTTTCCCCATTTATGTCTGTATTCACTGATGATATGCCTAACAAAATTTAAACATATTTTAAATTACACACACTGTGTATGTGTGTGTGTGTGTGTGTGTGTGTGTGAGAGAGAGAGAGAGAGAGAGAGAGAGAGAGAGAGAGAGAGAGAGAGAGAGAGAAAGAGAGAGAGAGAAAGAGAGAGAGAGAGAAAGAGAGAAATTGGGCAGTGATATGACTGAATGATGAATAGTCAGTAAAAGAAAGAAAAGTATTGTTTTAGAAATGAAAGGGACCTTAGAGTAATTTAATCTAAATTCCATCTCCCTCTCTAACCTACTCCATTCCTAGGTCTCTATTTTCAGAGAAAAGAAATCTCAGATGCAGGGAAATAGAATTAGTTTCTGAGCTAGAACTAGACTCCATTCCTCATGTGTCCAATGCAGGGTTTTGGGGCCTTGGCTGTATTTGCATTGTGGACTGAATAATCATTTTATGTGAGTCTTCCTATGATTTGCAGGGCGTTTAGCAGCAATCACTGGCTTCTACCCTCTAGATGTCAGTAGCACACACACACACACACCCTCCCCTAGTTGTGACACACAAAAATGTCACTAGGCATTGCCAAATGTCTCTGGTTGACAAAATTACTCTGGATTGAGAATCACTAGCCTAATGGGTGGGTTTTCCATTGGCACTCATAATTCGAAGTTTGAATAATCAATGCTTTAGTTA